GCGTGAAGAAAGCACCGAGATAAAAGTCTTCTTCAGCACGAAGAACTTTCGCGCTGAAACTTAAACCATAAAGCTCACTCGCATCGAATACGGGAATTCGGTGGTGTTGACTTGTCTCGTGAGGCAAGCTATTAATAGGCTGTTCCGGCAAACGCCACGGCTTCAGCTCATCACGCTTCGACGTGGTACCTTTGCTGTGACCACGGTGTTCAGTATGACGACGGCTCGCGCCATCTTTAACGTGCTCGTGCGAAGGCGCACGAGTTGACTGTTGTGATGAGTTATTATACTCATCACTATTTTAATTATCGCTGCCAAACAGACTGTGGCACATTTCGCGAGTCTGTTCGTTCGGTACGTCTCTTGATGAACGATGTACCGCAGGTGAGCGTGATGCCTTTAAAGCCTTCCCCGAGTTAGGCACATCTGACTTGCCAGAGCAGCTTACCCCTAGCTCGGGATCACTGTGTGCATGAGGTGCGATACCACATGAGCGTGCAGATACACTTGCTGCAGGCCGAGAATGAGCAGCAGACGACGAATCGTCTGACGCAGAGGCTGGCGCAGTAGCAGACTGTGTAGTCTTTAACTCACCTCGCATAGACATGTTAACTATGCGATGCAAAGTCAGAATGAAAGGGTCTGACCAACAAGTACTCCCGTCCCGTTGGCATCCAACGAGTAGCCACAAAGTTTCTATAGTCACATGGTTACTATCAGTTAAGGGGGAGTGATGTAACGGGAAAGCCCGTTACATGATATTGTCACTCAGGACAATATCACAATAAATAATATTACGTTGGATATTCTTTCAACAATATCACAGAGCATGATGATATTGTTGGGAGGTGGTGATTAGACGTCATCATACGCTTAGTTAGATCTAACTAATTAAGTCAGGGCAATCAGAGAAACAAGATTGATATGACTTAATTATATTAAATAACAGTTTTGCTTTTACCACGACTAAAGCCTATGCCTTAGTCGTTCTATATTCCTCTGTGTATTTATACACCTAGCAGGGCACTGGCTATCACTGCAGTCAGTGATTATAAACTCCGTACTGGTTGACCAGTACGTAGTAATTGGTGCCCCGTTTCAAATAATGCCATCTCCATAAAATTTATGCAAAAAGCTTGTAGCATTTTAGACATCTTTGTTGATGCTTTCAGCAATACGAATGTGCTCATACTCAGGAAAGCGCATGCGATCACTGATCGGATCCTTGTGCGAAGTAATAATTATGTGACGACAATGATCCAAGCTTGTGGGTTGGTGTTTGCTGGTAAAGCAGCAACTATTGACCGAGACGATATTGATGCGGCTCAACTGCTACAAATTGTTACGTCCGACGAGATCGTGACCAACGCTAGTCATATACTCTGTAGAATATTTGTACGGCATCGAGGACCGAACGATGGCTCGTTAGAAATGTATTGAACGTGTGACAGCTGTTCTATAGCAAGATCATTGCGGGTAGACTATTGATGAATGTTATCTCCGTCATACGTCTTTTGTAACAGGGTTGCACGTCTGTTAATGACCGTTACAACCTGTGTGGCTCACATTAGACATTAGATCCCATCAAAAGCGATATTAAAACACCTTATCAGTTGTTGGGGACTGTCTTGTGTCAGCTAGCAGATACAAGATCTTTAAAAGGGTACTAATCTAGAGCATTAGTGTCTAGGTTCGGTTCTTTTAGGGTAAGGTTTCGTTTCACACACAACAAAACAAAGTTCAGTTCCCCTTTTGATCTTTCATCGACACGTGCCTTTCTAAGGCGTCTCAGGTCGTTTAAAAAGGGAAAACTAAAGAAATGCCCCAGATAATTTGGAAAGCAAAAAAATGCCCCACGTCCTAGTATTAATGGAAGAGGATCGACAGCAGCAAGTGAGATAGACGTTGGCAGTAGTCGAGGTAGCAAGTGATTTAAGCATACCTTTTTGGCCTTTTTATGCCCGAATGCAACATACTAAATAGCTACCAGCTCGAACCGTACCTCTATCGAAGTACAAGGGCAAGTCAACGCTGCTGCGACCGATACACACTGGTTTTTGGAGAAGAAGTTTACCCCCAAAGCCATTACCGTCATCCTAGACGTACTCTTGCCTCTCACAAAACACAGGAATGCTCCTAAACGATTACTAATCGCGAAGGAGGTGGCCGTAAAGATAGTGAAAAAGAAACACAATCGCTGCAGATTTGGTGCATCTTATGGTCACAACAAGATGAGTTGCCAGGCCATATTCCAAGGTGCCAATGGTCAGGATGTATTTAAGAATTGACTGCGACGTCACCGGCAAACAAGTTGGAAGATTGGTATTAGCAGTGTATCGGATGTCTTCGCAGACAATTCTATGACGCTACACAGTGCTCATTCACCACTTACGTCACGTTTGCCCGCGCCCACGTAGGCGTTCTGCATTTCTTATTCACCTGATAAGGATATATGCTGTAAGGCGCCACGCTCTTAATAAGATTACGCGAGTCAGAATATGCTGGCTCTAAATCTGATGTACGAACCTTGTAGCGAAGCAGCACAATGTCCAAGCTCACTTCCTCTGTATCCTGCGCCCACCACGCTTCTCTTGAGACGCGCCTCTCATGTCGAGAACCATGACGCAGCCACACTTCAAACAACTCAAGCGCAGCACCTACAATAACAACAGTGGCAGTAGCAGCAACAGCAGTAGCATCACCAGTAGCACCAACAACATCAACAATATCACCTACAATAACAACAGCAGTATCATCACCAGTAGCAGTAACAACATCAACAATAGCTACTGAAAGAACAAAAACAAAAGCAATATCATCAGTATCAACAACATTAGCACAGAACGACTGGGGCTGGCCGTGACCAACCCCCGCCTGTTTGGGGCCGGGCCGCGGAGAGGGTTTTGCAACTGGTGGCTGCAAGCGCAGCACGCCCGCGGCAAAACCCTCTCCGCGGCTCCCCGAACCGGGCGGGGTTATTCACGGCCGTAAAATGGTAAACGAAAACGTTTAGGGACGTGTGTACCACACTAACTTGAGTATTTTAGGACGTGGGCCTTTTGTTATTTTCCAATTATCTGGGGCATTTATTATTTTCGTGATTAAATGGAGCATTTTGTTATTTTCCCTTTTAAAGAATTGTCAAGCCTTGCTAAGGTGTCGACTTTGAGCACTCTGTGCTGTTGATTTACTGATTCGTTTGGTCCCTTGAACACGGACCTTAAGCTTTGAGCTTGTTGACTCGTAGAGTCGGGTTCGTTTTAAAGAACTAAATTGCTCGTTGAGAAGGAAGCCTTCCTCTGGATAAGAGCTATACCAGCTCCGCTACAGATTTGTCAACACATAAAAGAAGAAGAAGAAGAAGAACGAGTGCGTTGTTTCACTCAATTCTGGTTCATATACCAGTGCCATAAAGTTATCAAATGTTGTGTGATATGCTGTATAGGTGCCATTTCTTGACAAGACTTTAGTCACGAAGACAAACTCCATTATATGACAATAAAAAATGTGTGTTCGTGAGATCATTGAAAACCTCCAGCCACGAAGACAGACAATTTCATTTGTTAGACTGATTGCCACTGAGCTTACTGATGACCCCAACTCGCATTCCGATGACAATATATACACTGACAAGCAAAGCGCTCTAGTGTAAGAGACAAAACCGAGGTGGGAATGTACGCAAGAGATGTGAAGGGCTTCATTGACCCCCTTCACATCTTAATTCTGCCCTGTTCCTTTGGAGGCTGTAGGCGAGACGTAGCTGAATGTAGTCAAGGCATAGGTTACATGTGTTCTGAGCCAAACGATTCACAACACTTATACGAGGGCGCGCACACGGCGAGTCGAATGCAAGCCCCTCGATTGAGCTCAGCTTGCAAATTGAGTTAACTATATCAAAGCGCACATATTATATGAGCTCATCGTTTCCTGTCTCGACATGCACGAAGCTGTATTGATCTAGTACCTCAGCATATGACGTTCAAGATTGTTAGACGCGTACTTAAAAACGCAGTCAACGTTCGCAGTCAGTAGTCAGTATGACTTTGAAACCAGAAGATTCATCAATCGATGTCAAAGCCAATCCATGAAAGATATCTACGGGGAAACTCAGCGTGTCCACTGCCACATGCGTTGCAGCTCGAAATCGTCGCCGAGGCTATCTACCATATGCCATAAAAAGCACTCGTAAGCTCTATAAGGCTACGTTGCCAAATGCGAGATAGCTACTGAACATGAAGAGTACGGAGATTCAGCGCTTGTGCAAGCGTATGCTACTAAAGCACGTGGCAATAGTTGACATTGCTTGCAGCTCGAAAGAAATCACATGAGCACTGTGTGCTTTATCTGACACGTGTGTGAGAGCTATTGGCGAGAAAAGCAGCGTCATGTTCACTTTTCAACATTGCTATGAGTAACTTGGGTCACGAAGGTACCGCACAATACTTTTGCTGCAAGAAAGAAGAGTTACATCCATCTTGTAGAGGCCTCGAAGACGATGCTTGGTCAACAATCACAGCACATTGCTTGTGCGGTCGCGAGATTGACTTGTGTTGAGGCAAGTTTGGTCCCACGCTAGAGTATCGCATGAGTTTGCTGACACAAACCAGTCAAAAACGGCTTACGAGCTGTTTGCACTAGCGGTAAAGAAGGAGCAAGCGTGATCCAACATGCTGTGTGTGCTCAAAAGATAGGGCTTGCATGGGCGTCTCAAGCGCTGAAATTAAATACGCGCTAGCGGTCAGCTGCCCCAAGACGAAGAAGATCGCACGCGCTGTCGGCGTCTGTTATCAGAAAAGGCACCAGATTAGTATCAGGACCTTTGACACATGCAGCAGGCGTCTTGAAAGAGTGTGCGCTGGATCTACGATCGCAGCAAACTGCATCACACATGTCCACATATTAGCACAATTGACGTCAAACGGCTCCCTCAAAGTATAGAGAAATGACCACATACCGGTTGCAAAAGCGAATGCCTCTTCTCGCTAAATATCTCCGATCAACTAGCCCGCAATCGTGTAGTCGTGACGAAGCGGAATCGAGTTCTTGGGGCGGTTCTGGACTCCTTTGCAGATCGCGATGTGTTGCTGCGCACCCGAGGGCGCAAACTTTCGACGGCAACATGGACAAAGCACAAGCGTGGCTTTATGCTCGATATAGCTGTGTTGCAGCGTGTGGTCTTTCTGTTTGTGCGAACTCGATGCCATCAATCCTGCAGGTTTCGATAAAATTTCGACACTTGCACTCCTTCGGCTCGGAGGAGAAACTTGGTTTGATGAAGTTCCACGTCCCCACGAGCCTTCGTTGCCAAACACTCGTGGGCAGACAGCCTCGTGCTTGGCAAGTCGACCTTCGGCAAAGCTTCGGTTGCAGTACCGGCACGTTTCCTTTTGCTGTGTTACTGGTACTCCGCCAAAAACGCTGCTTGTAGGTTGGCTGTTTTGCTTTCTGACTTCACGCTTCATCTTCTGTTTAGACTGCCAAACGGATGCAGGCTGTACGGCCAAAGATGCTTTAGGCTCCCGATGAACGCGCTGGTCATCAAGTGGATCCTTCAACCCATCACTTGCTGTTCCAAGCATACTTTCTCGAGTGCTCGATCGTCTCTGTAACGTGCTGCCCTCGGTACTGTGCTGTTGTGTGATAGAACGGCGACGTCTCGAGTGTAGCAAGAGCAAACTATCTCGCATTGAAGTGGCCTGAGGTTGCTCGTAAGGCGTAGGGTCTGGAAATGATGCCGCGTAATGCATCGAACGCAGTGTGGTATCTTCCGACATCAACACCAGGGCACGTTCAAAACTTGCGTACAGCGGAGACAAGCGTCGCTTATGAAAGTTGGCTGTCGCACACTCCTGAAAATGCGCCGCATATTGATCCGACACTTGCTGCTCACCACAAAAACAGCAGAACAACGTCACCTGGTGCTCCATACTCGGGACTGCTGATACAGCTGTAAGCGCATGATCTTCAGAGTGCTGTCCGAGCACGACGGGATGCCGCTCTGTCGTCTCTTCAGCCTCTGCAGCGGCCATTTGAGGCTGGCTCGTGCTCGCATCGAACTGACTCGGTCTAAAAAAAGCATCAGCAATTGCCTCGTCAGCACGATCCTGTTGTTTTCATGGCAGCAGTTTTCAACAGTACGTACTTTTTCCAGAATGACTCGCGTGTGCATCGATTGTAGTAGTATACACGGCCTTTTGCCGTGTAAGCTTCTTGCCACTCATCGTTTTGAGCTGATTGCCTTCCCTTCTCCTCTTCAATTCTCGTCTCTGCATCAATCTGCACAACATTATCATCGTCGTCGTGTCTCTCATTTCTCTCCTCTTCCTCCTCGACCTCATCTTCTTCTTCTTTCGAGCCCACTGATCTATCCATTGACCCCCAATGAGCCATCACCTGCTCTTCTTGATCATCCGTCACCCATTTGTCTTCCATCACTTCGTTTACGCCTTCCCAGTACGTCTCAGCCGATGCTCTTGTTGTCCACTGCTCGTGTTCCTGCTCTTCCTCGCTCCCTCCGTCTCCATCGTCCTCCAACAGACGCAAAGCCTCCCGCACTTGCGCCTCCACATCTGCCTCATCTCTTTCCATTGACGCGCTGCAACGCTCATCTCTGTATCGATCGTCAACGAGTGGAGACAGCAAACTGCCGTCGTCCACGTCCTTTTCGCTCTTGTGAGACGTCGTGACGGACCAATTTGGTCGATATGGATCTCGACTTTCGACGTCTCGTGTCTGATCCATCTCATCCACGTGATCCATCAAGTTGTATGGCGCTAGCGGCTCTGAAGCATGAGGTATAGACGCAGGCAGCGGTGCCGTGCGGGTGCTCGGACTGTCTGGCATCGACAATTCGAATCGAGCGACACTTTGTGTTGCATTGTAGAGCGTGATTGGATGAAAATCTGCGTCCTACCGTCTCTGATAGTGAGTGACGACCAGATGACTCGGAAGTAAGTTAGTGAGTCGACAAAAGAGGTTTCAGGCCTCGCATCATGAGGTGGAGCTATGTGTGCTTTGCGAGCTGCTCTATAGCTTTTTGGCAACTTGGTCTCGGATGGCGGCACGCCGATCGTCTTGCTATGATGCACGCATTTCGCTGTTTGCGACCACGGAAACCATGGCGAAGACGATCTCGATCATGATATAATGAACAAATGGCTTCAGCATTTATCGGAAACACGTTGGCAAGAGACTCGATGGATGTGTAAGCCGGTAACAAATACGACTGCGCACGCCAATGTTTGTGCTGTGGTGCCAAGATGTGTGTCATTAGCTCCTTATTGGCACATATTCGTGCATCTACGGAAGTTCTTACGAAGTGGACGCCGGCGAAACGGCACTTAGTGTTGGCTGTCCGATCTGTGGCATGTCATTGACTTTTGCACAGGACTGTGTGGTCGAGCAACGCTGCATTGTAAAGATGGAGAACTCGTTTCTCGGCTACGTTTGCTAATGCCTGATCATTTGCCATCGATTCTGGCACTTCGTTGTTGGCCATTCCACGGCAACAAACATGCAATATGTATAACGCTATCCCCACACGGTCCTGCGACCGTAGCATGCAGGACCAAATCGCCTCTGGTCACGATCGTCCGCACAGCCGCGTGCCACGATGTTGCATGCTTGTCGAGATTTCTCGCCTTCCTTCTTGTCCGCGGTTGTGGCTGCTCACAACGACAATGCTCTAGCGGATACTTTTATTAGCTCAGCCAGATAGCCGGGTCTATCTGGCACGGGTATAACTAATCACATTCGTTGTTCAATTCACCTCGCAATCTCAAACAACACAAAGGCAATGCTGCTGTTTGCTTCAATCGAGGTTCTGTGTTAGCCGAGGATAAAAACTCTGAAAGTGAGCTGTACTTAGCGCGAGAGCTGGTAGTACCGCTTTCTCGTTCTAGTATCACTGCGCACGCAACGTCCTTCACATGCAACGCCGAGACATTATCTGCCACCAACATGACTCAGTAGTAATTTACCAAGCGCGTGCGACAGGGTCGGCCAATTTTATGTATCATCCTCTGATCGATTACGGTCAAATGTCCGTCTCGGAGGAACTCAGCCTCACGACCTCCAGGTTCTATAGTAAATTTGCCACTGCACTGCCGGGTCGGTCACATACACTGTAGATCATTGTGTCACCGAGTTCTGTCAGGATGTATTCACGGCCACAACAGCGGTTGGTCAGGAATGCGTCGCAGATTGTATGAGAGATGTCGACATGCGTTTCTGGCTATGGATGCGACGGAGCCCCTTGCTCAGGCTAGAACGCTAAAGTGATGCACGTTCATATTGAAGCGTCAGCACGGACACGAGGGCATCATCTCTTTCGCTACAGTGGAACTCACAAAGACTGTCATCCTAGACGGCCCAAGCGTGGCCCAATAACTACCGCTTCGGGCCTTGTAAGCTTGGATAGACTGACACGTCCACTAGGTGAAAGATGCAATGTGATTCTCAGACACAGACAAGGCAGTCGAGTCATACGCGGCTACATCACATCATTTCGAAAAGGCTTGTTCGATCGGGTTTCTGCTCGATCGATGAGCAACGAGACACGTCGCAAGTCACTGAAATCCGCAAGTTTATGCTCGGTCGAAGCTGGTCGATTAAGGTTGCATAGCAACGCTCCTGACTAGTAGAATGGCAGAATCTGAGGTTGTAGATCGTGTTCATTTACATGAGGAGGTCAAGTGGTAAGTCTCGGCATAGACGCGAGCGGAGGTATCGCCCAATGCACCCACTTTGCATCAAAACAGTGGTCAACTACTATCGACGACGACTGGAGGGGCATTCAACAAAAGAAGTGCTCGTCAGGTACGCGCTACCCGTGTGTGCGATCTATCTGTGGCTCGTTACAGCTCTGGTCAAGCCGAAACGCATGATCAAGGCCGAGGAATGCCTGTGTCTGAGACATGAGGTGTTCAATCTATGGAAGGAGTTACTCGTTTGTACTCGTCACTTCGACTAGTCAATCGATGTGGCTTTGCAGCTCGAAGAGGACTTCGATGGCCACAGTGTACCCATGTGGAGGAGGACGTCTGGATCGTGCGTGTGGTGCCAAGTGTCCGTGCTACTGCGTCGCTCGCACACAACTACGAGGTTATGCTGCTTATTCCCTTATGCAGCGTAATACCGAATACGTATTCTCAGAGACTCACAACTAACAAAGTCCCATTTCTATACGCAATGACGCAAATGCAGGCGGCAGTAGGCGACGGCATAGCTCCTCGCGTCGACGACACCGATGTTCTCCTGCCTGCGTTCGATGCATCTGCAGCTCGTGGCTCTCTTGACGCTGTGATTGACGTTGCCGCACACCGTTTCCCATTCTGTCTCGTGTGGTCGCCGATCCCTCTCCTTACTTGGTTTGTGCCCTTTATTGGACATTTGGGTCTCGCAGACAGCAAAGGGTAAGCAATTTTGGTACCCAGTGAGCGACAATGGCTGTACCCAAAAGCACAAAAGCCGGCTGTTTTGTTGCTTCCTGTCAGCTTTCACATATAACATTCTCATTGTCATTTTTGCCATTTTGGACCCTCTTTTTTCGCTGTTGTTCTCAGCATTATCTTTGACTTTGCCGGGCCTTATACGATCGGCCGCAACAGCTTCGCTTTTGGGGCCCCTACCCGCTACTTGCAATGCCAAGTAGCACCTGAAAACGTGAGCAAATGGGACGAAGGAGTCGCTGCAGGCTGCCGGATTTACGAAAAGCGGACGCACAATTTGTGCTGTGACAACTGCCACTCTCATGTCGCCGCGTGTCTCGAGCACGCTGGACATGCAGGTCGTAGACGGTATAATATGGTGCAACTCTGCTTCTGGATGTTTTTCCGAGGAGACTATGTGGGTGTGGCAGGCGTTGTCAAGACGTGGCTACCGTTTGTAATCGTGATGGCATTATGTGTCATTAGCATAGCGTTTTCGGCATGAGAGAGCAGTCCATTGAGGTGGAGGCGAGGACTACGGTATCCAAGTGCCAGATTGACAAGCACTGACTACTGCTAATATGAGACTTGTTCTTGTGATTGAGTGATGCCGCTATTTCATTCGCGTTGTCACGATTGCCACTTTGGAAACTTCTTTGTGAAGCACTTTAGCTTGATCCAGGGACGATGATGCTCGCATATGCGCTCTCTCAAAGTTACGTCCAAGAGGAGATGACCAATGCACGCACCAATTTCCAGCCATTTCCACCGCCAAATTCTCCGCATCGAGTGCATCACGACGTCATGCTACAAGTCGAGACCGAGACCGAGGAAGACGAGAACGATGGAATCGACTTTAGACGCGTCCGGGCAGAGCTAGACCGTTTACTGGACGAAGACTTCCGTGAATCTGACGACGATGTGGTCGATGAGGATCAAGACGAGGAGGACATTATCAGTGTGATGTACCACGTCTACCGACCGAGGCCCACGATGAAGATCTTCGGTGCTGGCAGGATGAGCCGCTCGCTCTGACTTTGCACATCTGATTATCGTGTCAGACCCCACCATCACGCGGATGCTTATCTTTTTTTCCTTGTTTGCCGATCGAGCTCGTGATTGCTGTTACAAGTCACCATTTTGTGGCACGACTTGATTTTTTAGTGACTCTGCAGATAATTGGGAATAACACGCATTCTGCATCTGCATCATGTTGATCGTTGTGTCAGCACGTACAGTAACACGAGGTGTGATAAATGGTCCGTCGGATTGCGATGCAGCGAACTCTACATGCACTATACTGCTGGTCAATCATTCAGGTACGATGGGTCGTGGCTTATCGTACCCGCCTGTTTGCCTGGCAGTGCCTACTGTACTTTGACACCAGTCTTTACACCCGCAACGGCGGGAACACGCTGTACGCAAGACATCACCGTCGTCGGCGTTGCGTGTGTAGATACTTCGGTGATGAATGTAAAGAGTAGTGCTGGCTTCCTGTCTGGGCCCACATCTCTTCGAATTGTGTTGGGTCAAAAGTGGTCCGTAGCTGTGCGTTGATGTGTAGACTTTGTGATAAACAGCAATGTCTACTAGCTATGTCGATTGATGGACTTTGCGATGTCTGGAATGTCATTGCAAGGCATTGCCCGTAATGCCTTGCACGCCCCGATACGAGACAAAAATGGCCAAGCTCGAGCACGTCACGTTGTGAACACGAACCGCTGTTGCGACAACAAGTGATGTTAGACACTAGTGCTCGCTGGTTTGTCCTGGTGATCGCATGCATAGAAACTACGAGATATCGACCAGAAGCTGTAAGCCGCTCTGTAAAGTGCTTGTTCAGGTCTGACTTGCTCGCGACAGAGCAGAATAGTATGAATGTGGAATCTGCTCGTGTGATGAATAAATTGGCCCCTTTATTGAACTGATGAACTGATGAACCTGATGTGTGTGTCAAGCTTACAGAGAGATTCGAGCAGACTACGAACTTGAAGTGGCATCCAAGATGGGTTAGTCAAAGCCATACCCCTTCATTGGACATTTGCCAGCAAGAAAACGTTGACTTGTTGTCCCATCCAGGTGTTCAACAAGCACAGCCGATACAAATGATAGTTGTGGCGGTGTGGAACGAAGCAACTGTCATGTGTTTGGATTGTTTGTGTGACCTGCTTTGCCACAAGACATTCGCATGGACAGAAGTCGGTCCTTTGGCGGCGTATTCTCAACTGCGTAATAGTCGCCAATCTTGTGAACGGGTAGCTGATGAGAGGCCCTTAGCATTTCGAAGCTGTGCTGAGGATACATTGTTCTGCATCTTGTGGATACTTGATGTTGAGATATTTGTCCGAGGAATGGGGAAGAGCTCGCTCGAAATGACGCTCCTATCGTTCTTCGTCCAAGAAGGGGTGAGTGCCCAGATACGGTATTCGAGGATTGTTGCGATACCCACCATGTCTTGTAGACTTTAGTGTCATCCCATGTATATCTCTCATTGTTCTCATACGCACGAATCTTGCTAGCGTCGACAGGTGCGAAAAAGAAGTAAATCTGTCCTAGGAAGACCTTTTGTGTCAACTATGTGGACCATGCCGATGCCTCACCACTTCAACTACATGGGATCGCCATATGTCGGAGAAATCGTCCGACTACGCATGGCCGCAATTGTTACTCATCATGAACCTAGACCCGTCGTACACAGAGCTCAACTCGCTGCTTCAGCGGCAACATGTAAAGAACGTGTGTACACGACTGCACGCCGATCATCGCGCCTATCAAACTCTGCTCTTTACGATCACCCTTTCGACACCTGCCGGTACAATAATCGTGCAAGGAACCTCGTAGCCAAGCACCACCACAATACAGCAAGCAACACTTTGACGCTAGATGCAGCAATATCGAACGTTGTATCAATATCTTGGGTCCAGGTGTCGGCGAAGGAAACAGAAGTGAAGCGTCTGTCGAGATATAGCGTTTGCAACAATTCTCTCATTCGATCGAAGAGCTTTTTCAGACCATATGCGACGAGCACTAATGAATAGTATACCAACTTGAATGAACGGTACCTTCGCTACAGCCCCGATGACTACCGCTTTGGTCCTAGCACATCAATCGCAGGACTCAATGTATCGGATACTGTTAGTCATTCCTCAACATGACGCAGATGCTGATCGGCAGTGGACTGGATGAGCCGGCTACGCAATTGATCCACCGTACGACATTCGATTGAACTGCGTGCGACATTGACGTACGCCAATTTGTTGCCTAAGTAATGTCTTCTACGATCAACAACTTGTCAGAAATTGGTCAGCAGCGCAATTCGTTTCTTGTCACGAGTGATCTACAAGGCGACAATTGGAAGCCACGTGAGCAACGTATACAGTATCAACTGATCGGTTCGCAATGACTTCTTTGTCAGCAATAAAAATATTTAATCATCTAGTCCACTCGAGCGAGACGTTACTACGCATCTCGCATGCTTCTTATCTACACGTGTGTTCGACGTCTGTGTTCCACTGCAGATAGAATTCTCCGTTCAAAACGATCAGGTCTTGCTCCCCGTCGTCTTCGTTATCCGTGAGCACCATTTCGTCGACCAGTTCTTTCAAGTACGGATGCTTTTCCACTATGGCCGCAGCGTCCCAGAACCCCCGTCTCGCCAAGTACTCGACAAAGCCCAACTTGCCGACACAGTCTCTTTTGCAGTTCGTCGCGAGCCACTTGGCCACGTCTTCGTGTCCTGCGTGAATGGCATTCACGACAGCTGACTGGGAACACCCTTCATCTCGATGACGATGAAGCCACTGGATCACGTCCAAGTGTCCTGATGTTGCCGCATTGTCAATTGCATAATGCGTCGCGCCTTCGTGTCGATTGTAGTGCAGCCACTTGATGACCGCCAAGTGGCCATGTTGCGCCGCAAAGTCCATAGCGTTGCTCGTGCAGCCCTCTCGTCGGTGCTCATGCAGCCACTGGACAATCCCCAAGTGGCCGTTGCACGCCGCCATGTCCATAGCGTCCGTCGTGCAGCCCTCACGTCGGGTCGCGTGCAGCCACTGCAGCACGTCGAGGTGGCCAAACTCGGCAGCCGAGTCCATTGCTTCTTGACAGCAGCAGTCAAACGTCTCGGGGTGACGGCGACTCACGCGTTGCACGAGGTGCAAGTGCCCGGCAAGCGCTGCGCGCATGAGCGTCCACTGGAACGAGACGTCGAGGAACGCGTTCACGTGGTGCACTACGAGGTCTGTGCCGGCGTTGTAGCGGTCGCAGATGGCGACAACTGCGGGTGAGACGGCAACGTCGTTCCGGTGGCGCACGTGCTCCATCGATCAAGTGCAATAGTGACTCGAGTCGAGAGCGACAGCGATAGCGGTTGTGGCTGGCACCGTGTCGCGGACGGGGTGTGGAGGGGGTGGAGGGGGTTACTCGAGACGAAAGGTGCTCCTCCTCCCTCCCCCCCCCTTGTCCTGCATGTCGCCGGCTCTTTTCTTCCCGCAACGTCCCGTCTGCTCTCTCTGCCCACGAGCGAGTCCGTGACCGGCTTTGGTGGAAAAGAAACCGGTCGCACTTTCTGTCGTTTCTGTCGTTCCAGCTGCTTTACTGGACGCTTCTGTCGGTTGATGAAAAACCAACAGTCTCGTGTTTATCCTTCTTCTTCTCCTGCATTTCCTGTGCTAAGCTTGTCGTCCTTGCGCTGTATATGCAGGTTGCGGTTGACGTGCGGCTGGTTTCGTCCGCGTCTGATTCCGGTCTGATAAAGACGCGACGATGACCCCGTTTCAAGGTCCTTTCTGTACCGTGCGACCAGTTACGATTCGGCAGCCCAGATCGGCGCTGACCACGGACTGGAAAACCTTGCGAAGAGTCCAGACAATATAGAAAAAAGGCGCATGTCCTTCGACAGTCTGCACGTTGCAAACTGCCCGTGTGCAAACGAAGCGGCGCCGTTAGAAAAGGCTCGGGTGTTCCATGTCGTTGAGCTGATAAAAAGCGCTTTCGATCGACATCACGGTCGACGACTTGAGATCACCATGAACGCGTTTAGCGTTATACGGCAAATAACAGCATCTTCGCATCCGTGCTGAGATAGGGGTGACATCGTTGACACTTTTATGCAGGGGATCACGTTACTGCTGACGGCATGGGTCTGTAGAGGTGGGCGACGAAAAAATGGTCTGCGACGTGAGCTGTGGAAGAGATTTGTGCCTGCGCAGGCGACTAGTCAAGCGGTCCGTCGAAGCTCCCGGAAATACTGATAAGCAAACAATTGAGTAGGTGAGTGCGCGAAAGTCGAGTCGCTTGGATGGATAAAGTGGCGCTTGGAGTCGATCAACGACCCGATGTTCGTAGCATCAGCTCTCGTTGCGATATCGAGAGGGCCATCATCGGGATCACTGATCGGTTCCAGAACTTTTGCCATAATCCCGCGTTCTCGATTACCATGTGCTTAATGTGACCAACTCTGATGATGGATTTGTAATGCTGCTTACCAATCAACCGTATTGGCGTGATTATAATGATTACAGCTGGTGTTTGGAATACGCACATTGAACATGACAAGTGCAGGCGTAAACAATCATGCTGTAGCTCGGACGTCGGAGTTACGCAGTAAAGGACTGTTTTGTGGCGTCTTTGACAAACACTGACAGCAACGGTGCAATAAACAACAGAGATCGAAGGTCTTTGCGTAAAAGGAGATGCACGAAGACCCATTCGAATGAACACTCGGATCATCAGAAGACACCTCATCGTTCTTGTAAGTGCTGCACCAGACAAAAGAGACCGTCAGCCAGCGAACGTGGAGGACGTCGTAAGGAACAACGAGCCAAATATTTTCAGCAATCGTCATATGGCAACGACATGGACAGCAGTAACAGCGACCTCCTGACCTTCACTCAGAAGGAGCTTCGTTTGTAACAAACCACATGCTCGAAACTTCAGACGAACGTATGTCCACCGATATCAGAGCATGGACACCAGAACTTATATTTACGCGAAGGGGCGATATGCTACAGGTCAGGGCGCCCTTTTCAAGTCACACTACCTTTTGACTTGGACTCCGTCGTACGCACCATTTGCTGCAGCATGTCTTTGGCATAACGTAAGCGTTTGCCTAGATCCGGCCGCTCGGATGTGAGGACAGCTGTTGCGGATGGAAACACCGCCAGGTCACCATCGCGATTGAGATAGGTCGCAACACAAGCGTTTGCGGATAGCATGAGCTTCGACTTGTCGAAGAAATTAAACTGCAGTGTTCGGTTGGACAGCTGGAACAGCACCGCATGACGAGTCTTGACCCACTTCGTCACATACACCATCGGTTCGACCATACCGTCGCCACTACAGTTTTCGAGTGTCCCGGTGTCCGTGCCTTCTCCGCGAGACGACAACACGAAGGACCTGGCAAGCTGACTTTCGAGGGCATCTGCCTCGTCATTTTCCGCACGGGCGTCCACCAAATAGCCTTTGAAGTGGCCTAACAGCGTCACCTTCTTGTTGAGCACGGGATCGTAGTTGTCCATTGTGTAGCGGACTTGAGAGTCTGCCCCTGGATAATGACTGCTTTGACGTTCGATGTACTCAAAGACCCGTCCGTCTGCTGATGATATCATTTTCGTAGAGTCATTGAAGTACACACCCGATTCGCCATTCGAAAGCATGTAGCCGATACCATACTTTGACGTGTAGTCTACCCATTGTGATATCCACAATGTGGCCGGAACAAGCGGACAGATAGCATCTGCCTCAGCGCGAACCTTTTTCAATCTCTGCGCTGCAGCAACGATTGTGGCAGCAGGGGACGACTCACTCAACCTCGCACCGCCGTCGTCTCGGTTGTGGCTGTGCTCTTGCAGGTAAAACAATCGAGATAATGTCTTGTACGCCGCCTGCAATGCGTTTTGGGAACAGACCGGGGTATCCCCTATCCTATCGTGCGGCGATCGGACAACCGTAGTGCTGCCGCTTGTTGTCACTTGTCTTGTAGTCGAGCCTGAAAACCCTGCTGCTCTTCTTGTGCCGTCACGCTTATAAGCAGGAGGTAGCGACTGCAACAGGTTGGGTAATGCCCCGGGATCCGAAGCGCGCTGAGCGTAAGCATTGGCATCTCTTGTCTGAAGTGGACACCTTTTTGATGCAGCAGACGGCGCTGGAGCCACACCTTCAGCTGAGCTTGCAAAACGTTCGCTATCACTATGACGGGTGACGAACGATTGACGTTTGCACGAAGGCGGTGTCACGAGCAGTGCAGTTCTAGGCAACGTAGCCGGTACGAACTCATCGGCCAAAAACGGGTGCTTCATGATCTGCTCCAATGATGGTCTTGCACCAGGATCATTGCGCAGAATACTGCGAACAAGCGATTGAGCTGATCGTGATACATGCGCTGTCTCCGGAAAGTCGTACTGATTGGCACGTATCAGCTTGTAAGTAGCCTTGACGTCGTCTGTTTCGAAAGGGGGTCTGCCCACGAGCATCGTGTACATGACAACACCAGTCGACCAAATGTCTACTTCAAAACTGTGTCCGTCGCCTCGCTGTCCGTTCAATATCTCGGGCGCAATGTAGTTGGGCGTGCCACACATGGTACGCTTGCGGTCGTCAGGGTCATCAAGTCGAGCTGCAAGCCCAAAGTCGCCGATCTTCAGACGCATGTCGGACGTGAGAAACAAGTTACCTAGCTTGAGGTCGCGGTGAATCACCAGCGCTTTATGCAAGTACGCCAGCCCTTCCACAAGCTGACGCATGTAGAACCGCACTTCGCCCTCCGATAGTCGCTTCCTCCGCCGCATCAAGTCCGACATCGACTGATTGCGACACAACTCGAGCAAAATGTACGCATTGTCTGCGTCTTCGAAGAAGTGTTCAAACTGCACAATCTGCGGGTGATGTAGCGACTTGTGGATTTTGATCTCCGACGTAAACTACACGCACGCGCAGACCGACAACACAACACAAAAGAATGCACAAACAACCACAAGAAAACAACAAAGAGCATCAATTTAATCCACACTCTCATCTCCTCCCTTTACAACAACATCAATAGCAACAGCAGCAGTAAACGTATCCCCACTTTCTGCTTGGCCTTCAGTTTCAACAGCGAGCTCTTGGCCACAACTTTCGCCGCATAACTCTTCCCCGTTCGCTTGCACGTCAGCTCATAGCAGCGCGCAAACCCTCCCTACACCACCAGTCATTAGCAGCACAAAAATAAGTGTATCAATCAAACACAGACACAACAGCAACGACAACAACAACACAAATGTCAGCAATTCTCCACAATGCGTCCAGCAGCACACTCCACAAACCGCCTCGTACCTTGCCGAGAAATTTGCCCTTCACGTACGTCCGCGTCTCGACGTCTCCTTCTTGAGCATTCGCCCACGTCTCGACAATCTGAAGCGGCACGACCGGCTGCGGCGTCGCCTCTTTCTTTGTCTTCTTCGACTTGTTCTGAGTCGGCTTCTGAGTCTGCTCCCTCGACGCCGTGTCTGCGGCTCGACCGACCACCGGGTCGGCCCTGTGCGCCCCTTCTGCACTCGCTTCTTGACCGCTGATTGGCTTAAAAGTGGACGGCAGCGCGTGGCTCGGACTGGTGGAGGCGCGACGGCGCTGCACGAGCTTAAACCTGTCGCTGTCGTACACGCGACGGGCTGCGTCGTTGCTGCTGGTGCGGGAGCGCTGCTTGACGTGCAGTGCAGCGGCGCTGGACGCGGACGAGTGCCCGGCGGTCGCGCCTTTTGGCACGCCGGACATTGTCATCAATGCGTCAAAAACGGACCCCACCGCGTCAAAAACGATGAGGTCAAATCGATTCAAGGGGGCCGAGAGTGCGCAAAAAAGGGGGGCGCGTTCCTGTAGTCGAGCATGAGATGCTGGATAAGAGGGTCAAACGAAGGTCGCGAGGGGTCGTGTGTGTGGGTGTGGCGAACGTGACGTCGAGTCGATGCGCACTTATTGTTCGAGCAACATTACCGCAGATGTCGAATAATGCAGCGATTTCTTTTTATCTAGATGTTCGGAAACGAAGTCGAATATCGATAAGTAGAGTTGTGTTTCGACCGATGCGACGTTTTAACTACGTGTCGGAACTTGTCGACTTCCTCTCATCCAATTTCGAGGCTTGTACAGTATGTCGAAACAGCCCGGTCGGTCGAAAAGGTCTGACGTTATTCGAGACAAAGTTTGTTTCCCACGGATCAAAACGTCGATGTACAGAAACGCCCGTACACGATCAAAGCAACAAACAATCTGAGAAATGGAAGTTGGCCTCCTCTTCATTGTGCGACCCATTTGCTGTAAGTCGCCTTTCGTCGGTTGCAAGAAAGCGACCAAGGACAGGCGTATAGTGGCTTTTACTCGATCACAAATGGACCGCATGCTGCGTGTCGACGCAGGTCGAAGTCCGAAATGGGGCAAACGAGCAAACCGTTGCACCTGTAACCTTTATTTACTTCGATAGCAATGCGCTGACAGCGCGTTGTACCGCAGTTGTTACAGCAAACGTCAGCAGACCGCTTGACAGAATTCATCGATCGTTAATACGAAACACTGAATGTCGATGTTGTCAAAATAACTGAACCACATCATGATCTGATCCGTGTCATTGCAAGTACGATGCTGGGCACCAACATGTCCCCATCAGCGGTCCGTGTTCGAGGCTACAAACAATCGTGAGACGTACCAGCGTAAGCGATTGGCTCGAACGCGACGACCAGGACACAACTCGTTCTACTTACTTCATCTACATGTGTCCCCGGCACCGACAACTGGTTGCATGAGTCACACGATTCCCTTCGCAGTTGCAATCCGACTGAAAGAGAGCGCTTTTGATTGCGTATGCGTCATGATACTTCACTAAGAGTACACTCAGTCTGTGGAATCGTTTGCCACGAAGTGCAGGCAAACGCAGTCATGCAAGGGCACATGCGCCACATATTCGATAGACTTGTGCCTGTGCTGTCCATCACCTACGCAACGACCGAGACGCATAAAGCCAGAAAAAATATGCGTTCAGCATTGGTAAACCTGCGCGTAATGTCAGCCGGGAAGATTTTGCGCGTCGGGTCGAATGCACACAGATCCCATGTGCCCGACAGGATATAGCGGTCGCTCGCGTACCTGAAGATACGTCGCAGTTTTACTCACCGATTCCATGTGCACCCTACCTAGTCTTCGAAATTCGGTACACGGCGGTCATAAGAAATACGCCCAAGCGATGGTCAAGACTTCACCGTGCAACGCTGTTCCAGCGAGATGTCACTCGGTCTGACTATTCCAACTACGTCCATGCTCTTTCGCTCGGTCTGACTATTCCAACTACGTCCATGCTCTTGGCAATATACACTTGTCAGGCTTGTTTCGTGGCCACCACTTCGACAGTGTCTCGTAGCTTCATTTCGAGGGAGGAGCGTTCCTGTGAGTAGAAGGAGACAGCAAAGACGCGGTTGCTCGTCGCATCCTCGCAAACATGCAAAAATATGCGACACATGAAGCAGGAGGTAACGAGGACAGTGAGTAGTGCCGCACTGCGAGAAGAGGAATATAGCTCTCGCGCATTATCTGGTCACAGCTGAGCAAATTGTGTGGCGGACAAGTGCATCTTGTCCATTTGGCTACAACACAGAATCATAGATGACTATAGATAGCATCGCAAGCCCGACGCTCAGTCACCTCGATTGACATTGTCTGCTTGGCATTGCTCACATCATTCGCCCCAACAAGCCCAAAGGCGTTCTTCGACCTGTACAAAATACCCTCTTATACGCGTACGTTCAGTCGGTCAAGCGAAGAGGGGACCGTCAACTTACTCGTTCCTTGTGCATACTCCTTGAGTTGTGGTAGAAAAAAAGACAAGAACAATTATCCATTACATTGATCGAGCTGAACTGCGAGAGATACGGCCACATCAAACGCGTACGCGATGGCAACGATCCAGGGTGACAGACTGCAAGCATACATCGCATCACTCTCTATGTAACGGGGCAGCCCGTTACATGGAATTGTCACTTTAAGGAAAGTGACAATAAAGAATATGAAGTTGAATATTCTTTAAACAAGATCACCAAAGTGGTGATATTGAAGGGTCGATCAAAGAGTCTGTTCATTGGTTGATATCTTGATGATATCAACCCACCAATCGCCGAAAGACGCACGCAATGAATGGTGACGAGACGTCACCATACACTCAGTTATATTAGCATAATTAAGTTAAGTCAAACAGAGAGACAGTAGCAAAAGGACTTAATTATATTAATAGAACAGTTTTACTTTTTCCTTATCCTACGCTTCCTCGTTCTCCTCGTGTACGTCTGTCGGGGCACCCGAAGCCCTTGCGTTAAGTTCACGCAAGGGTGTGCCCCGTTACACCTGGTAGCACTTTGTTGTCCTTCCAAGGACCACAACATCCAACATGAACATGTTGGATGATGAAGAGACCTTTCACGCCACGCGTGAAGAGTTTACCCATTTGAGTGACATCGAATGGGGTGCGGTAGAACGAATGAGTTCTACCGTAGGCAAGTTCGCCATTAGCGCCATGTTGGAGTCTCTAGACAGAGACCAACAACATGCCGCTATAGCCAAGTTCATCCAAAGTGAACTTGTCGCCGAAAGGGAGAAAGTAGCCTTACTTCACCAGCAAGGCTCTCAACAGGCCGAGCAGTTGAGAGAACTCGGTGCGCAACAGACAGAGCTGTTGAGACAGCAGCAATTCCATGCTTCTGTGGGCGGGACGGCACATGCGCGTCGTCCCGAGGTCATGAAGGTTGACATCTCCAAGTACAGTGGAGTCCCGGAGGACTCCCTGTTATTATGGTTTGTCGAACTCGACAGAGCCTTAAGGGCTCGTCGCGTCGAAGATGAGCAAATGAAACTCACATTTGCTCAGACCCACTTGGCAGGGCGTGCCAAAACTTGGTCCCTGGGACTCGAGAATAGCGACCTAAATGTGTTTAGGTCGCTAGATGAATTCAAGTCCCGGCTCAGACAAACGTTTGAGCCGCCACGAGCTGAGTTCAGGGCTCGTTCTGAGCTCCTGAAACTCAAGCAGGGTAAGCGTAATGTGCACGCTTACGCACAACATATACGACTCCTAGCGAGTAGTATAACTGCTAACCCAGTTCATGAACACACGTTGATTACGGTGTTCATGCAAGGGCTCGCAGAAGGACCCGTCAGGAGCCACCTGTTCCGCCTTGAGCTGAATACGCTTGAAGAAGCGATATCAGCCGCAGAACAGGAAGACTTTAGCATGAGACAGGCTCATGCTAGCTCAAACTCTTACCGTCCACCAAGACGACAAGAGATCGGAGGTCCAGAACCAATGGACCTCTGCTATGTTGAGAGCGAGAGACCTCGCTCTTCAAACAACAAGCGATTGCAGAGGTGCAATCGCTGTCAGAAGTTAGGGCACTACGCATACGAGTGTAGTGCTCCACGCCCAGTACCAAACAGTACTGAGCGAAATGGACGACCATTTGCCAGAAAGGGCAATGGGCGTGGGTCCAGCGCTGTTGCGACACCGCAACAGCGAGACGGGCCATCAAAAAATGATCGGGGTCAGTAGGGGCGGAGCGCCCTACTGATCCAGCAACCTCAAGAGAATTTTCAAATCTCTTGACGAAAGTTGCTCCAGATACACAATCATTGTGTGTCTCTGCACCTGATGATGACGTTTCGTTCATCACCATGAAGTTGGAAGCGACAAATGATCTGTCACTTCGTGCCCTAGTAGGCTGTGGGGCGTCAAACAACTTTGTTCGTCGCCAGTTACTAGAGGGTTGTAGGCTCAAGTTCGTTGAGCGCGATATTCCCCTCACGAGGATAACGGTGCGCCTTGCAACAGGCGCATCGATTACCGTTAATAAACGTGTAGTCGGAATCCACTACACGTTAGAGGGCGAACAGTACGATGATGACTTCATCGTACTAGATCTGGATGACAAATTTGATGTCATCCTGGGATTACCTTGGCTCAGAAGATACGAGCCAAGAGTGAGCTTGCAGCATCGATCCGTGAAGATGCCTGCCACTTGTTGATCAGATGGCCATTTGATGAACATCTTGGAGCGCCCACAAGCGTGTGGTAGTTCTGCGAGTGAGTGCGATGGCCTCACTTGCGGTACGGTCGTTAGCACGACTGCACAAGATCACAGTGTAGTTGATCACTACACTGTGGAGCAAGCTCCCGGCGGCTGTACAGAAGTACAGGCTGCGCCGAAGGTCCACCACTCGAATAAGTCGAGTGGACCGGGACATGGATGCATGCCTAGCGGGCAGCATCTTAGAAGTAAGAAACCTTTTGACTCCAAAGGGAAACATGTAAAGCCTAGTTCGACTGGAGAGTTGACCGTAGAGGACCGATGCCTGACTGGGGTTGCACAACCACAGTCGGAAGACGTCGAGGGAATAAGTCCCCACGTACTTGAGGAAGGAATTCCTCAAGAGTCACTTGCTGAAGGATTAGGCCTTCAACAACCTGTGGAATGAAGTTCCCAGGAAGTAACCGAGACGTTGAACGTCTTGGTTAATGACGGATCAAGCGTAGGCGCTTATACGCTTGATCTGATTGTGCCTCCGAAGTTAACTTCGGAGATAACTCAGTTGCCAACGCTAGAACTGAAACGGTTCTTGCGTGATCTGCGTAGTGGCAAAGTCAAGCAGATCTGCATACTCGTCACAGAGGATGAGTATGTGCCCGATTTTCGGTCGGCAACAGTATTTGCTGAGAACGAACGGGTTCTCAGCAGCTCATC